GAAGACAGAAGGTCTGGAAATGGTGGAGGTGGCACCAGGGCCCCTTGGACTGGCTTCTGTGCTTATGACCGAGACCAAACATGGGCCTGGGTGACTGTGGCCTGTCCAAAGGAGACAAGAAAAGCCCAAATCTCTGAGTGCCCCTCCCTATCTCCCTGTACTCTTCTGTCTTCCATAGTATTTATTTTATTAGTATTTAATTTGTATTGTTTCGTTGGTTTCTGATAAGTCTGTATCACTGTGACGATTTGAGACAACTTGTTGTATTGAGGGACTTTCTTTACCTCCTCTCCTTTTTCTTTGTGGGGACGCTTCGGGGCTGCTCCCTCCCTCTAAGAAAATTGTCCCCAGGTTGTCTTTCCCCGGGTGGGGAGGGAGCAGGTTGAGGACGGATAGGGAGACATCATCAAACGACTAAACATCCTGGCTGCTGCTGGCCCAGAGATGGGGGGCTGGGGGCAAATCCCTGGCCTTTGGTGCTCCCCCACCCCCTGCCAGTTTTGCCCTACCCCCGCCCTTTGTAGCCGCTCTGCCATCTTGAGGTTAGTGTTTACCAGGGTGGGGGTGCCACGGTTGCTCTAATAAAGGCAGGTTGAGAATGGGCCCTAGGGACGAGGATGCTTCCCCCACATTGCTCCTCGGAGTGCTCAGTATGAAGTTCTTCTGGCGTCTTTTGTCCTGTACCCTTCCCCTCTTTGCCTCACCCTGGCCTCCCCATCTTGAGATGCGAGCCTGTAACCTCCCAGCCTTTGCCTTGCCATCCCTACCACAGACTCAGCACCCTTCTCCCCTCCTCCACCTGCCCCTGATTCTCCTTTGGAATCCACAAAGGGGCCTGGGGCTGACTAGGCTAGGGCCGGGACTAGCATCTGGTCTGGCTCTACATCCACATGGGGACTTGGAACTGAGTGAGTAGCTTGCGGGCCTTCGGAAGCCTAGTGTTAGATCTGTTACAGGAGAGAAGAGGATGAGCTTGGCTTGTTTCCGTGGCCCCACCCCTCCATGGCATCTCTTTCCCGCTCTCCTTATTTTTCTACCAATTGCTATTTTTCCGAACAATCCTTGTAGAGGATGTACCATCCAAAGGCAGGAGGGCCTTGCTGTGGTTGGCTCTGGACGGCGATGGTACAGTTTTATTGTACAGGTGCTAAACAACAAGAAGAAAATGGAAAAAAAAACAAAAAAGGAGAAAAGAAAGCCAGTTTGGGGATGGGACAATCTGTTCTCTGGAGGCTCCTGACCCATTTAGGAGCATTGTTTCTTTTAACTGTGTGGTTTCTGTTCCCGTGGGGAATTTCTGGGCCCCCTTCTGTAGGACAGCCCCACCATCCTGCCCAATTGGTTTTGAACAATTGTTTTCCCTTTCTAACAACAACAAATTATATATATATATATGCATATATATATAAAGTTGAGGGGGTTTGGATTTCAATTTTCTTTGTTGGGATTTATGATACTGTGTGATTTATTTTGTTTTCTGTTTGCCTTGACTTTGTTTTGCATTTTGGTGTGTACTCTGGCTGCCCTTTATGTTTCGTTTTAAGCAACTGGCTGTGGAGTCAAAAACGCATACTGAAAAACCTGTGTCAGGGCCTTTGTCTCCTGTGCTTACTCTTTCCCCTTTGAGGTTTGGGGTAGTTAAGTGGTCCCTAGGGACACAGTGGGTGAGGGCACGGCACAATAGAGTTTTGGGTCATTATATTGAATCTGGAAAACAGGGGCATGTCCCAGGGCCCCTGCCCGCCTGAGGGTCAAATAGTCCAACTTGGGGTTGCCTCGATTTGGAGATTGTGGAAGGAGCATTCCTTGTTTGCAACTGGAATAAGAGGAATAGGGGAGGGGCCCCCCTGTGGCTGCTGAGTGGTGGTGCAGTCTTCCCTGATAGCAGAGAGCATCAGCCTGCTGATCCTCTTCGTGCTCAAGAAATTCACTTGGCTGCGCTGTGTAATTCCCACCCTGCCTTTACCCTTGCCAGCACCGTCACTCCTGTACCAGTGCCTTACCCGCCCACCTCAGCAGTGCTGGCCGTCCATGGTTCTAGTTCCAACGACCTCGCTGTAAAGGCGAGACGCCTGTCCCTACTTTTACAATTACTCCCACTTTTCGATAAACACCTAAAATCCTGTCTGCAGGCTCCAGAATGTGTCTGCTATTTGAGTGAGAGGAGATTTTGTGAAGGTCTGGATCCTACAAATGTTTAAACTCTGAATCTTTGGGGCCTCTCACTGTGGCTTGAGTGGGCAGGTCAGAGGAATGTGTCGGACTTCTTGGAAGTCCAATCATTCTCCAGAAGTAAACTTGAGCCCTTCTTCCTACCCATACCTCAGAAATTTGCCTCTGCTTGAGTCTGCCCAGATACAGGAGCATCATCCTTTTGGAGGCACAACAGTAATCTGCCTCCCTGGTGTTCCCCTCCCCACTTTCTGAGCAAAGGTTATCCCAAACAGCCCATAGTGTCTCCGATTTCAGGTCCATCCTCTATTTGAAACTTGCTATAAGATGGTGAGCATCCATACCGTCCCAGCCTTGGGGGAGTGGTGCATTGAGGCAAAAGGATTGCTGTGAATTCTAGGTCAGCCAGGGCTATATGGCAAGACCCTGTCCCAAAACAACAAGCAAGGTGTGACAATGCATGCCTGTAATTCCACTTCTCTGAAGGCCAGAGGGGGCACGGTTTGAGGTCAGCTTGCACTACGCAGATGAGACCTCTTCTCAAAATAACAAAAAGGAACTTGCAGTTCAGAAGTCAGGCACGTCAATAAATTAGACACGCCATGGTGTGTCGTAACAGTATTCAGATAGGCCCAGGATGCTGTGGGAGCTCAAAGGGCTGGACAAGGGTACCTGGGTGATTTGAACAGATGGTCTGGGAGGTGCATATTTAGTATTATCAGGGAATGGTGTTTGTTGGATTGAGAGCACAATCTGAGCCAAGGCTTGAACGGGGAGGAGAATTGTACGAGTCAAAGCAGTTACCTACGAAAGACTGGAGACCATTGCCATGTTATAAGGATCAAGGTGGAAGCATGGCCTGATACTAAGGCTGGTGGCTTCATTAACTATCTTATGTGCATTGGTGTGAAGGTGGCAGGTCTCCTGAAATGGAGTGATAGACAGGTGTGAGCTGCCATGTGGGTGCTAGGAATTGAACCCATGTCTTCTGGATTGGAAGAGCAGCCAGTGCTCTTAACCATTGAGCCATCTCTCCAGCCCCACCTGGTGGCCTCTTAAAAGTTCTTGGAGTTCTTTCCTGTGTGGGATAGAAAAGAGCTAATACTGCTCACTACTGTGCACCTTGACTGAGAGCCTAATCTTGCTGGTTGATGCTCAGTTTACCAAACTCTGGATAGATGAGACTACGGAGGACAAAGTTAGAGTTTAGCTGAAGTTAGTTCTGCCTCTGTACCAGGGTCAGTTAATGCTGATCTTGCCAGGATGGTCCTCTTCTGGTGTTGAAAGCAGCCCTATCAGCCTCTGGATTCTCATGCCTGATCCCAAGATGATATAAAGGTGAACTGGGCAGTAAGTTGCCCCTTTCATAATCTGGTCTAATTAGGAAGTCTGTTGGGCATTTTATTGTGTCGGGTCGTGATGTGTCTTCAAAGAGTCAGGTATACCCAAAGCATCCTGGAACACTCACTATAAGGGAATCACCAGATGTCCAGGCATGCCAGATTCAGGAGGACAGATCTGGGAAAGTTTCCACTTGGGGGGGGGGGTGACGGTCACCGCAATGATGTGCCATTGGGTGTGTGCTTGCTCCTCCCAGGCTCAGGAGCTTGGGTTCAAGCTGCAGGCAAATGGTTATAACAGACGCTTCGATCGTTCTCCCATTTCAAGGGAAAAGTGATATAGTTCGTGAAATTGTCGCTTAAGGCAGGCAGGCCAAGGAGAAGGCATCAGACCTGGGGTCTGTCAAGGGGTTGGTGATAGGTCAGGGCTTGCTTTGGCCGCTCTAGAGTGGCTTCAGCGAGCCAAGGAGGCCAGCAACACTCTTGCTCACCTGCGAGTACGCGAGAGTGGAGGCGGGGCCAGGGAGCGGTTGGCCAATGAGGAAGAGACATTCCGAGTTCGGCGGGGACTGTCTTTGGGAAGGAACCCCGGGGGACATGCGAAGCTCCAGAGCTAGGGAGGTTGTCGACAGGAACCAAAGCCTCCCAGAATTTGGGAGTCAGGGGGCGTGTTCAAGGGACAGGAAGATGCCTGCTTAGCCCTTTTCTCTGGGAGAAGCGGGCCACGCCCTGGCTGCCCCTCCCTCCCTTGCTCCTCTTGGCTGGCCCACTGTCGCCGTCTCCACAGCACCACCTGCTGGCTGTTGGCTTGTATATCGGCGCACGGGGCAGACGCGCTAGGAGGCTGCTCTGGCTGGGAGCCCAAAGGAGTTTGCTCACCCTGGGCTCACCGAGAGACTCCGAGGCCCTAGGCAACTGCCTTTCTGAGTACAGTCAGCAAGCTTGTGACCATCAGAAAAAACTTGTTCGTCCCCGCCCGAGGGGGGTGACATTTCTACCCCAGTTCCACCCAGGGATGAGGAAATAGTGCTGATGCAGTCGCTGGAAGGGAGACAGTGGCAGTTTGGGAGTTGCCTGTCAGCAAAGCAAAGTTGAAAGCAACATGAGCTCCTGGTGAACCCAACGGCAGATAAGCACGTGGGTAAAGGGAGTAGCTGCCTGAATTGTTATACGATGGGTCAAAATGCTGTGGTAGGGGCTAGGAATATAGCTCAGTTGGTAGGGCGTTTGTCCAGCATACAGGAAGCTCTGGGTTCCATCTTCGGCACCAAATAAATGGATTTTGGCAATGAATGTCTGTGATGTCAGCACAGGGGAGGTCATGTTTGGTCACATAGTCAGCTTGGGCTACGTGAGATCCCTCGACCCCCCCCCAAAGACATCAAAACAACAAAAACATTTTGATAGCTCCCGAGCACTGATTGGCCTGTCTTTTCCCTGCTGCCAGGTAGGGCAGAAGGTTGCACAATCAGAATCTGGACTCACGTATCCTTTCAATAAACATTTATTGAGCACCTACTGTGTGTCAGGCACTGTGGCTAGGTGCTGGGGATACATCACTGACTAGCACACAGCCCCTGTCCTTGAGGAGCCCACAGTCTCTTGGAGGGGAAACGTACATAACACAACTGGAGAACTACATACAATGTGCTACAATGAGAGGTACATACAAAGTGCTGTGGGGAGCCAGGAGAAGGGAAACGTATCAGCCGCTGGGAAGTGCGGATCATCGCTTGACTCCTGACTCCATTAGGCCATCACAAAAGCAGGGGTATTGTTACCACCTGACTCCGGTTAAAGTAAATTTGTCTCCTGAGGTTCTCCTCTAGCTTCTTCGGTAACTCTTGTCAGCCAGAGTTAAGTTAACCGGTTAGCTAGTTTAACACTGTGTAGAAAAGAACCCGGACAGAGAGGTGTCTTTAGGATCAGATGTTCAAAGTTATACAGATCTTGAGTGTTAAGGTAGCGGATAGGGTGTACCATGGGGGCACTGAGCCAGGAATGGCAGGCCCAGGGCAGTAAAGCGCCTGGGGTAACTGAGGAGAGGGGTCAAGAAGCTCTACACACCTCTCATCAGATCCATCAGTAACTAGTCATGGATGCTCTTTTGCTTTATAATGTGCCCGGCTTTTTGGGTGTCGCAGTGATGCCTATCCCTCAACACTCAGGAGATTGAGTAGGTCCGGATCTAAATAAGGTCTACGTAACAGTTTGTGATTACAACAGAGATGTCACAGGTGTTTATAATCACCCGCCATCAGGTGGCAGTTACAAGTTTAAGAACTGAACTTAAGAACTGGCTGCTTCCACAAAATTCAGGCTTGAGACACAATCTTTAGTTCTTAGTGAAGAGAGGGAACGTTTTGGTTGAACAGAACCCAGGAAAGAAAAGGCATAGGTGGGGATTTACGGCAGTAACAAGTTCAAAGACCATGGAATCCTTTACGAGTAGTACCTTGGAGTGGGATAGGGAATATTAGGAGCCAATCGTGGAGGGCCACAGACTTGAGCTTTGCTTCCTGGTAGGGCTGAAACCAAACTTCAGATCTCTCTAGAACTGCTACCCACAGCTCTCCAAGTGCTCTTCAATTCCTGCAGGACCCCCCCCCCCCGGGCCATGTCATGATTCAGGAACTAAAGGGTTAATGCTAGGCCTCTAGAAAAGCCTGGAGGATGAGTGTTGTAAATATTGGCCCTACCTGCAGGCCAGGACTCACTGAAGGCCTTTAGCAGAGGAAGGACAGAGTAAGTGGCAAGGGCTGAGAAGTCACATTGGACAGGGTACTGATGTGTGTTGGGAATGGAAAGCTGAGCAGCATGAACCAGGCTGGAGGCTCTGGGAATGAAGACAGGCCAGATGCCAGGAGATCAGGGACAGGGACAAGGTCAAGTGCAGGTAGCCACTGAACAGCTCGGAGATTTCCAGTCTAGAAGGTCAGGAAGCAGCTCACCAGAGCTGTGAGTCAGGGACTTAGAAATGTGGGTTCTGGATTGAATAACTCATCTCAAGCAACTGGCCCATGACAATGGTGGAACCCTTGGAGAACACCCACATAGAAAGAGATGATAAGCAGCCCATGCGGTGTGGAAGGACACCCAAGTGTGGGCTAACAAGGGCCGAGAACTGTGGCAAAGATGTTTTGCCTATTAAAACCTGTTGATGGCTTTAAGACAGTTTCCTTGGAGTTAGGAAGTGTATACAGACATTAGATTCCAGGTTGCTGCAGGATCACCCCAACTCACACTGCGCCTTTGTGTTCATGAGAACTGTTAGGGCTGGGGGTGTAGCACAATTGATAAGCAGTCTAGCCCGCACAAAGTTGTGGCTTCGATCCATGGAAACATAGGAACTGGGCATGGCGGTACACACCTGCAGTCCTAGCACTGGTCAGGTGGAGAAGAAAAAACCAGAATTTCAACGTCATCTTCCCCTACATGGCAAGTTCGAAGCCAAAAAGGACTATATGAGATATTGTCTCAAAAAACTAAAACCCAAATACAACAACAAGAGCAACAATAACAGCAACAACAACGGTGACCTTTTCTCAAGATGCTTATTTCCAACCATCAAGAGATTGTCATCATAAGCTGATTTTATTAGCACAGACATTTCAGTGCCAACTGCCGGGAATGTAGCGAATGCACCTGCATAACCACAGATGGTTCCTTCCCCCAGTGAAGGAGAGCGAGCAGTAGGGGAGAATGATGAGCAGTCAGGGAGGTAGTTAGGTCAAACAGGTGCTTTGGCACAGAGGACATAGCAAAGGTCCTGGAGCACTGGTTCACATTAACCAAATTCACCAGAGGCTAGAGTTGCCTCTGGGCCCAACATCTCTTAACATTGCCCCTAAACCTGTTAGGAGAGAGGCAAACAGATTCAAGGAAGGGAGATGATGAAGGCCCTCAGCTGAGAGGCTGACTTTAAGAGACATCAGGAGAAGCCGAGCAGTGGTGGCGCACGCCTTTAATCCCAGCAACTCGGGAGGCAGAGGCAGGCGGATCTCTGTGAGTTCGAGGCTAGGCTGGACCGACAGCCTCCAAAATAATACAGAGAAACCCTGTCTCGTAAAATCAGAGAGAGAGAGAGAGAGAGAGAGAGAGAGAGAGAGAGAGAGAGAGAGAGAGAGAGAGACATCAGGAGAACCCTTTGCAGAAACAGAAGAGAAGCAAAGAGTCGAGTCATGCCGACAGGAACTGTGGGAACTCATGTGTACCAGCTCCTATGTTCTTGGTGTGAGAGCTCAGAGCTGGGAATGAGAGCTATAGTCCACCTGCAGTCTTTGAGAGCCTCTGTGAGAGGGAGAGGGTGGACAGAGACCGTGCGGCTGGAGCTGGGTTGCCACCCCACTGGCCTCAGCACCTCGTGACAGATGGAGCATCTCAGGGCAAACAGAATGAAGAGGGAACCTGCGACCGGGAATGAAGAGTACTGTGCCCCCCAAAAGGCTATTATCAAACATAAGGCTGATCTTACACAAACAGCCAAAAGCCCTGGCCACAAACCTTCAATCCATTCAGGCCCAGCTAGGGACTTTATAATTGGGTTAACTATAGGTAAGTGCTTTGCCCCACAACCTTCAGCAAAGTACTCCAGGTTCCAGCCGGATAGCAAGGTGACCATGGCAAACGATTGCTCCCAAGGCTAGGTGTGATCCTTTTCCCTCTTGCTATGCTGGTAATACACATGGCCTCTTGTCCCTTGGCAATGTCCTCAGCATGTGCACCAATTGAAGCTCTCCTACCTAGACGTGTTCCATGTCCGTGACATCTCTCCAGACTGGGGGCATCAAACTGGTATGTTCTAGTCTCAGAATGGCATTATGGCAAGGAGACAGAGCAGAGAGCAGAGAGAGCAGAGAGCAGAGAGAGCAGAGAGCACGTTTTCTCTTAAAAATGCCTCATGTCTGTGGCTGACCTAGGAATAGATGGACATGGACACACACACACACACACACATACACACACACACTCACACACTCACACACACTTGAAGAAAAGACCTGACATCTACATCCCATTCTCCTCAAAGAAATGAAGACACAGACCCACAAGCGGACACAAATACACACGCAGATATTCACATATGGGATGGTAAGTTAAGTTCCCCGTGTAGGGAATATAGATGACAAAGTATGACCAGGCTTAACTTCTCATGTGGCCTCTGGCCAGCTCTGGCCACAAGCTATTTCCTAGCTTGGGGCTTTACCCCCATCACTAAGTTAACCCACTGTCCTTCTCAGAGCACGTCTATTCCCTAGTGCTCTTGAAGGCCATGGTCAGATGCCAGGAATGCTTGAGATGGGCATAATTTGATCATGGTTACATCAGAACAAGGTCTGGGGGACTTGGTATCAGTTATATCACACCCCACTCGATGTAAGGGCAGGTATTCTACTTAAGCCCACATGGAAATGCTTCACAATTTGCCTGGTAGGTCATACTTTTGATCCCTTTGTTTATATATCATGAGGCTCCATCTTAATGAGTGAAGTAGGATTGAAAGGGGGGAAAGGGGCTGGGGTAGGAGATGTGGTCAGCAGGCTCCCCGATGTGGTCACACTAGGCTCAGCTACAAACAGAGACCCTGAGCCTGACGAGAGCTCAAGTTCAGCCACTGGGGTTAGGCCAACAGTGGGGCGGCTAGGGGGAGAGACAGTCTGACTCCCCACGAGGCTCAGGTTATGGGAACCCCTTGAGAGCACCTGACTCTGAACTGGCTGAAGATGAGCCTGGTCTCTCAGGAGCTCTCTCAGGGTCTCTTCAGGGACCAACAGCCCTTCCACAGGTGGCCCGGTCACCACACCCTGCACATATGAGGGGGACCTCAAGGGCCCCTCCTTCACTCCTGGCACTGATGTGCCACCGGAAGTCCTGATAAAGGCAGCAATGACAGTCCCAGGGGGCTGAGAGCTAGGCCCTGCTGAGCCAGCACCTATGACCTGGGGTTGTACTGGGTTGCTAGGATGGTTAGCCCCAGCCAAAAGTTGAGGGAGGCCACTGAGGATCAGTGGGGCCCCCTGGGTTGCCACCTGATTCTCCTGGAAAGTGGTATTCAGGGGGAAGGAGGCCTGCAAAGTGAAGGTGTCCTTAAATGTGGACACCTGTGGAACACTCTGGAGAACGAGTTGGGTGGGAGCAGCAGTGCTGGCAGGAGGCCCATTGGTCAGCACCGTGGTCAGCGGGATGGTCTGCAGGGTGACAGTGGATCCCGGCCCCACAGGGGCTACTCCTAGGTGGATGTTACTGGGCACCGAAGAAGTGCTGGGAAGAAACAGAACACAGAGCTGGTTAAGGCAGGGAACCCCGAGCTGGCTAGGAATAAGGCCCAAGAGGACTGAAGTTGTACATGTGCTGTGCCTTCAGTATTCTAGCTACTATGTATCAACTTGTCTAGGTCAGACATTAGTCTGCAAGTTGGACATTGTTCAAACTTCAGAACCACCCAGGAACTCAATAAGCATCATCTAATTGTACAGTTTTAGGAACCCGAAGCGCACAGTCCACAGCCACAGAGCTAGGGGAGCCTGGAGCAGGGACTTTGCATGGAAGTCTTGTAAACCCTAGCTAGAGCTCATGATCCTCCACATTCTACTCGACTGCTCCCGTCCTCTGAAGAGTGTCCCCATGACCTAAACCAATGGAGCAGGAGGTGTAGACATGACCCCAAATCCAATCTTTTCAGAGACAACTATAGGTCCCTTAGCGTCAAAGAGAGTGCTTCCCACGAGGTACGGAAGGCAGTGTTGTCTGCAACATATGTAGAAGCCCCAGGTGGCTCCTGAGGACACACTCTAGTGTCACAACAACAGTCATATCTTGTAACAGAAGCCCCTCCCCCAAGTGAAGTGCTGGCTTTGCGTTACTTTGGTATGTGACCTCAGGCAGGTCACGTCTGTCTCTCCCTCCCGCTCAAGATCAATTTTAATTACATTTTTTAAGATTGAAAAGATTCCTTTGTAAATTATTTTGATTTCCGTGTGTGTATGCCACACCCAGTGAGACCAGAAGAGGACGCCAGGTCCTCTGGAGCTAGAGTTCCAGGTGGTCGTGAGCTGCACCGTTCATGTGCTGGGAACCACACCCGGCTCCTGTGCAAGAGCAGTTGGCACTCTTAACCCCTGAGCCACCTCTCCAGCCCCTTCTTACCTCTCTTGACCAATAAGTGCCCTGCTTGTCTCTCAGGGGGTTCTGAGGTGACAACCGACCCCCTACACCCAGCATGAGGGACGAAAGGAAGACTCCAGCTACTTGAGTGCCCTTACCTCACAGTTTTGGTGACCTTGGCCTGACTCTGGAGTGGAGACACAAGCATGGTGGAGGTAGCGGGGGCCTCCTCGTCCACAGACAGTCCTAACTCCAGGCTTGCAGATGGCTGCAGACCAGCGTGTTGAACCTTTGGCTTCTCCCAGGAAGGGCTCTCCTTGTCCTGGGAGGAATCTTTGCTTAGGCCCCTGGGGCTGGCTCTCCGGATGGTGCTGGTAGAGGGTGTGGAGGAAGTAGACGCCTGTGGAGGTGGCGCTTCTGGTGTTTCGGTGCCCTCCTCGTCATCGTCAATCACCACCAAGTCCTTAGGCATCTCCTTAAACTGGTACACCAGCCTCTGCCCTTCCACCTTGGCCAGAATTCCTCTTTGGTAGTAATATCTGGAAAGACAAAGAGGGGGCTGGTGAGCTTACCAGAGGTTGAGCAAGGAGGCCATCTCTCCATCATGCTAGTCTCTAGGATGGGGCAAGCATGGGACTCAGGCAGACTGGCGAGGAGCAGTCCCGGAATGGGATGGGGTGGGAAGGGATGGGCAACTCTTGAACAGCAAACTTTGTATGACATTTTAAAAAGTTTTTACAGTCTAACAGATGTACAAAAAAAGGGTCTTCAATGCCAAGTCCATACTGCTTTGGGGCTGAGGACAGTGAGTGAGTGAGGAGTGAGTGTGTGAGTGAGTGTGTGAGTGAGTGAGTGTGTGAGTGAGTGAGTGTGTGATTGAGTGTGTGAGGAGTGAGTGTGTGAGTGAGTGTGTGAGTGAGTGTGTGAGTGAGTGAGTGTGGGAGTGTGTGAGTGAGTGTGTGAGTGAGTGAGTGTGTGAGTGTGTGAGTGAGTGAATGAATGAGTGACTGAGTGTGTGAGTGAGTAGTGACTGAGTGAGTGAGTGAGGAGTGAGTGAGTGTGTGAGTGAGTGTGTGAGTGAGTGAGTGAGGAGTAAGTGTGTGAGTGAGTAGTGACTGAGTGAGTGTGTGTGTGAGTGTGTGAGTGAGTGTGTGAGTGTGTGACTGAGTGTGTGAGTGAGTGTGTGAGTGAGGAGTGTGTGAGTGAGTGTGTGAGTGAGTCAGTGAGTGAGTGAGTGTGTGAGTTTGTGAGTGAGTGTGTGAGTGTGTGAGTGAGTGAGTGTGTGAGTGAGTGTGTGAGTGAGTGTGTGAGTGAGTGAGTGTGTGAGTGAGTGAATGAATGAGTGACTGAGTGTGTGAGTGAATGAGTGTGTGAGTGAGTGTGTGAGTGAGTGTGTGAGTGAGTGAGGAGTGAGTGTGTGAGTGAGTAGTGACTGAGTGAGTGAGTGTGAGTGAGTGTGTGACTGACTGTGTGAGTGTGTGAGTGTGTGAGTGAGTGTGTGAGTGAGTGAGTGAATGAGTGTGTGAGTGTGAGTGAGTGTGTGAGTGTGTGAGTGAGTAGTGACTGAGTGAGTGTGTGAGTGAGTGTGTGAGTGAGTGAGTGAGTCAGTGAGTGTGTGTGAGTGTGTGAGTGAGGAGTGTGTGAGTCAGTGAGTGAGTGTGTGAGTGAGTGAGTGAGTGTGTGAGTGAGTGTGTGAGTGAGTGTGTGAGTGAGTGAGGAGTGTGTGAGTGAGGAGTGTGTGAGTGAGGAGTGTGTGAGTCAGTGTGTGAGTCAGTGTGTGAGTGAGTGTATGAGTGAGTGAGTGAGTGTGTGAGTGAGTGTGTGAGTGAGTGTGTGAGTGAGTGAGGAGTGTGTGAGTCAGTGAGTGTGTGAGTCAGTGAGTGAGTGTGTGTGTTAGTGTGTGAGTGAGTGTGTGAGTGAGTGTATGAGTGAGTGAGTGAGTGTGTGAGTGAGTGTGTGTGTGTGAGTGAGTGTGCGAGTGAGTGAATGAATGAGTGACTGAGTGTGTGTGAGTGAGTGTGTGAGTGTGTGACTGTGCGAGTGTGTGAGTGAGTGTGTGAGTGAGTGAGTGAGTGAGTGTGTGAGTGTGTGAGTGAGTGTGTGAGTGAGTGAGGAGTGAGTGTGAGTGTGTGACTGTGTGAGTGAGTGTGTGAGTGAGTGAGTGAATGAGTGTGTGAGTGTGTGAGTGAGTGTGTGAGTGAGTGAGGAGTGTGTGAGTCAGTGAGTGAGTGTGTGAGTGAGTGTGTGAGTCAGTGAGTGAGTGAGTGAGTGTGTGAGTGAGGAGTGTGAGTCAGTGAGTGAGTGTGTGAGTGTGTGTGTGAGTGTGTGTGTGAGTGTATGAGTGAGTGAGTGAGTGTGTGAGTGAGTGTGTGAGTGAGGAGTGTGTGAGTGAGGAGTGTGTGAGTGAGAGTGTGAGTGAGTGTGTGAGTGAGTCAGTGAGTGAGTGTGTGAGTGAGTGAGGAGTGTGTGAGTGAGTGAGGAGTGTGTGAGTCAGTGTGAGTCAGTGAATGTGTGAGTGAGTGTATGAGTGAGTGAGTGTGTGAGTGAGGAGTGTGTGAGTGAGTGTGTGAGTGAGTCAGTGAGTGTGTGAGTGAGTGTGTGAGTGTGTGAGTGAGTGTGTGAGTGAGTCAGTGAGTGTGTGAGTGAGTGTGAGTGTGTGAGTGAGTGTGTGAGTGAGTGTGTGAGTGAGTGTGTGAGTGAGGAGTGTGTGAGTGTGTGAGTGAGTGAGTGTGTGAGTCAGTGAGTGAGGAGTGTGTGAGTGTGTGAGTGAGTAAGTGTGTGAGTGTGTGAGTGAGTGTGTGTGAGTGAGTGTGTGTGAGTGAGGAATGAGTGAGTGAGTGTGTGAGTGAGTGAGGAATGAGTGAGTGAGTGAGGAATGAGTGAGTGAGTGAGGAGAGCAAAAAGGAAGGAAGGAATGGGATGGTAGAGGTTCAACAATTCTCTGGCCTGAGAAGCCATCCAGGACAACCCAAGGCCATCTGTGGCTTCTGCAATGTGTGTGGAGCTAAAGTACCTTTCTATACAGAGATGCCAGAGGAGTCTTGAGGAGGAAGAAGGGAATGTTAGATCTGCATCCTAGAGGGGACTGCTCAGGCCTTCCTTCAGGTGGGAGTGTCTCCTTGGCCATAGGGAGATCTTGGTAATCCCTCGGGGCAGGAATTCTATGTCCCCACAAGTCCTACCTGAGAGCACGCCCCATGGTCTCATAGTTCATGTCAGGTTTGTTTTTCTGCTTGCCCCACAGCTTGGACACAGCCTTGGAATCCACCAACTTGAAGATGCCTTTTTCTCGCTGGGTCCACTTGATATACTTAGGGCAGGTGTTTCTGTCTTGCAGAAGAGCCAGGAGGAACTCCCACAGATAAATGGTGCTGCCTGCAGAAGGGGAGGCAGTGAGGGGCAGCTCAGGCCTTTGAAGTTCAGGGGCACCCTGCCCACCTCACCTGAGCCCCAACTCTACCTTTGCCGTCTTTGGATTTCTTCCGTATGGGGATGCTGGGGTCAGTGACAGGTGAGGTACTTCGGTTGTTCTTTGTCTTTCGGCCTGTGAGGAGGAAGTGGGAAAGCAGAAAGCTCAGGCCAAAGTTAGCTGGGCAAGCTGGATACGATAGGACAGGCAAGCCAGGTCACTATGGCAAGAGGCCCAATCCTTCTCCATGGCCACTGCACCATCCGCTTCGGTCTCTAAAGGTGACTAACTCCACATCAAGGCTACCACATCGGGAGATGCAAAGTTTGCAAAAGAGCTCCTTTTAGAAAAACAGCTAGGCAGGCATTCTTGCCCTAACTTTTGGAATGGGAGACAGCCTAAAGCTGTTTTTGTGGTGCAGATCAGGGTACTCCAGAGTAGACATACTGGCGCAGTACCAAGCAGCCATCTCCTAAGTAAATCAATAACACACGGGCTTGGGAAAGCCCAAAGTCCTTGCATAGATGGCCTGTTTCATAAGTGCAATAGAAGCTAGATAAGCATACGGCATGACTCATTTTTATAAGTGAAGGCCCCTAAAGTCCAGGAACTAGCCAGGAGTCTAGGCCTGGTGTCCCGACACCCAACCCAGGATCCGACCAACTGAGACTCCTGGCATTGCTACAGGACTTTATGAACATGCTGGGCGCATAGGAGCAGCATGAGAAAGGGCAGCTTTGGGAGGGACACCTAATGAAGCCAAGGCTTACAGAACTCCAGTTTCCCCGTGCTGGACCGAAGAGATAGCCTCAAGTCACTCAGACCTTGAGCCTCCCAGATCCCCGAGGCTTCCCCACCGGAGATGCGGACAGCCTTACTTCTCTTCCTTGTCTTCCCCGTCTTCTTAGGACTCTCGTCTCTGGAGACCCTCTCCTCCACAGGCTGCCCCTTCTGGTCACCAGTTTCACTTGTCTTCTTGGGCTCTTCAGGCTCGGTGGTAGAAAACAGGAAGTTGGGCAGATTGATGGTCTGCACAGAGTCTGTGTCTGGAAGTATTTCAGGTGTGCTGACTGCAAGAAGGAAGAGGCTTGGTGGGCAGAGCCCAGGGCAGGGAGAGCCTTCCTCTCACCTCTGTGGCGCCAGTGTAAAACGGTCAGCATGGGGGACAGTGGGGTGCCATTCTACATAACCCCAGACATGGGATACACCTAAAGCTGCCTCAGGGGGTCTCACCCCGCGAAGGGGGGACATCTATGGACCGTAGACATTGATCGGCCCCAATCACAATGTAGTGGAGAAGGTCCAGGCTGCATTCGGATAGAGGACTTGAATGATTTAATCACCTACTCATCTGACAACTCGAAAGGACTTCAGAAATCACTAAGCCCAATTCCTCCGCTTTCCTGATAAGGAATCTGAGACATGGCAAGTCATGTGCCATGGTCACACCGCAACAGTGGTGCATGTTGGCTGAATGTTAGTGAGAGGCAAGGCGAGAAATTTCTTTCAGCCTCAGAGTTTTTTTTTTTAAGATTTATGTAGTATGTATACAATGTTCTGCCTGCATGTATGCCTGCACACTGGAAGAGGGCACCTGACCTCATTATAGAAATGCTTGTGAGCCACCGTGTGGCTGCTGGGAATTGAACTCAGGACTTCTGAAAGAGCAGCCCTCTTAATCCCTGAGCCATCCATCTCTCCATCCCCTTTGAGATGTTTTTTGTCCTCAATTATGTCATAGTACTCCCTTGGGCATGGGTAACTGAGTGGCGGGGGGACTCTTGAAGCATTAGAATACCTTCTGGAGAGGACCTGGCAGGTGCTGCCTTGAAAGTGGGGGTCCTCGAGAGAGTCAGGGGCCATGGAGGATCAACAGGTACCTGTGCCCTCTCACACTATGGCCTTCAAAAACAGGCAACGGGGCTGTGGGATGGTTCGATGCTGCCAAGTCTTACAACCTGAGTTCGATCCCCAGGAATCCCATGATGGGAGGAGAGAATCAACTCCCAAAAGTTGTTTTCTGACCTCCACACTCTTGTCATGGTATATGCACACCCCACACACAAAATATAATTTAAAATGGAGCCGGGCGGTGGTGGCGCACACCTTTAATCCCCACACTCGGGAGGCAGAGGCAGGCGGATCTCTGTGAGTTCGAGGCTAGCCTGGTCTACAGAGTTCCAGGGCAGCCTCCAAAACAATACAGAGAAACCCTGTCTCAAAAAACCAATAAGTAAATAGAAATGTGATAAACTATTTTAAAAGAACGGGTAATGGACTATTCCTTCAGTAGTACCGGATGGTGACGATAGCTCCTCAACAATGTGAAACCACTTACCCTACTCATCTGTACCCTTCAAGATGACCAAGCTGATGCGGTTTGTTGTTGGTGAAATAACACCAACATTTTCCTGGCCATCTTTCCCTTGTCTCTAGTGCCTTCCTGACCCTTGTCAGTGTGGTCTTGAGTCTCCTCCCATGGATACTGATGGATGGGAGTACCCAGACCTAATGCACATTTGCCCGAAAACCCAGTGTTTGGATGCAAAGTGGACTGTTTTGTCCACTTGAAGTCAGGTACTCAAGTTCAAACTTACAGATCTGCTTCTCATCCAGGACATCGTTGGGAGTTTCCACATTGAATAGGACTTCAGTAGATGACACGTTTTGTGAGGTGGTCTCATTGTCATCTGATTCCAGGTTCCAAGGGGTGGGGGTAGAAAGGACAGTTCCGTCAGGCTTCAGAACAGTGATGATGAGGGTACAGCTGGGCAGGCACCAGAGTCCCTGCCACCCAACCCCCACCCTGGTTTCCATTCTTTGTGCCACCCCATCTGAGGAGTTTATGAATGGATTGGGATGGTCCCCCCTTCTATGGGAAGCCTTGCCCATTATGAGGGGTTACTAGCAGCCACAGTGGGCTCCTGTTCCCTGAAGGCAGAAGTCCTTTCTCCACCACACCCCTTCCCGGATCAGAAAGGAACAGACCTGCCAGCAAAATACCGCCTTCGAGGATCTGATCCTGTGTCATGCACAAGGTCCTGTCCCTTATGATGCCATTGTGGACGTCATCCAGATCCAGTCCAGAGTACAGATGCAGTAATTCAGGGTAGGGGACCTGCTCCACGATCACAGCTGGGAACACTGAAGGGTCTTCCAGCTATGCAAAAGAAAGATGTGGGTCAGGACTCACCCACTTCTCCCGAAAAGGCCACCCTACCAGATATCAAGGCCACCCTCTCTAGGTGATACTCTTCATTACATTTTTAACTTTGTTCTTTTTTTTTGTTTTTTTTGGTTTTTCGAGACAGGGTTTCTCTGTATTGTTTTGGAGGCTGTCCTGGAACTCACTCTGTAGACCAGGCTGGCCTTGAACTCACAGAAATCCTCCTGCCTCTGCCTCCCAAGTGCTGGGATTAAAGGCGTGCGCCACCAACACCCGGCAACTTTGTTCTTTTTAGACGTGGGACATATCACATCACGCGTGTGCTGGTGGTCAGAGAACAACTTGCTGGAGTTGGTTCTCGTCTGCCTCATGTGAGGCATTAGGCTTTACCACAGGCACCTTTAATTGCTAAGCCATCTTGCCAGCCCCGCCCCCCTCGGTGATGCTTTAAGTGGGATCTTGATTAACAGACACAGCTCAGCTCTGCAGGACCTGCTGACTCAGCCAAGTATTTTGGGTATGTGCAGGACTGGGGATAGAACCCAAAGCCTCGCACATGCTAAGCATGCATGCGCTTTACCACCGATCTATAGGCCCAACCCGCGCAAACGGGTTTTTGATTTGTTGGGTTAGTCCATGGTCTGAGGGTAGAGCTGAGTCTATAAGAAGAGTCACTAGTGGGAAGGGACTGATTGGTGGCAAGGGTGAGGGCTCAATGTACAGCCTCTTGCCAAGTCGTCTGAAGTTGCATGTGACTGGTGGTCCTATATTACGCTTCTAGCATTCCATAAAATCGGATTGGATTGCACTGATGTAGAACCAGACTGCCTGGATTCTACACTGTCTGCTATTTCATAGCTCTGTGACCCTAGGAAAGTTTCCTAACCTTTCTGTGTGTCAGTTGTCTTATTCATGAAGCTGGCTTACCCATATTGCTGATCCTATACTGTTTATACTGATCAGTAAATGTAATACATTCACAACAGGCCCTAGCATGGAATAAGTTATTATTAGGTATCTGGAGCTTCTACGAAACAAATGTTTTGTTTCTTTTAAAATTTTCAGTGTTAGCCGAGCGTTGGTGGTGCACGCCTTTAATCCCAGCACTCGGGAGGCAGAGGCAGGTGGATCTCTGTGAGTTCGAGGCCAGTCTGGTCTACAGAGTGAGTTCCAGGACAGCCTCCAAAACAATACAGAAAACCCAAAAAAATTTTTTTCAGTGTTTTTGGGCTGGAGAGATGGCTCAGTGGTTAAGAGCACAGTCTGCTCTTCCAGAGGTCCTGAGTTTAATTCCCAGCACCCATGTGGTGGCTCACAACCATCTGTAATGAGATGTGGTGCCCTCTTCTGGCCTTCGGAGATACATGCAGGCAGGACACTGTATACATAATAGATAATCTTAATTTTTTTCAGTGTTCTGCATACATGTATCTATGTGCATCATGTGTCTGGTACCCACAGAAGTCAGAAGAGAGTTGCTTGGAACTGGAGTTACAGAAGTTGTGACCTGCCACATGTGGGTGCTGGGAACCTAACCTGGGTCTTCTGCAAGAGACATAAGTGGTCTTAACCACTGAACCACCCTCTCCAGTCCCATGTTTTTTTTACATTGTATAATTCTTTTTTTAAGATTTATTTATTATGTATACAGTATTCTGCCTGCATTCATATCTGCATGCCAGAAGAGGGCGCCATATCTCATTCAAGGTGGTTGTGAGCCACCATGTGGTTGCTGGGAATTGAACTCAGGTCCTCTGGAAGAATAGTCAGTGCCTTAACCTCTGAGCCATCTCTCCAGCCTCCATGTTTTGTTTCTTTCTTTTCTTTTCTTTTTTTTTTTTTTTTGGTTTTTACGAGACAGCATTTCTCTGTATTGTTTCGGAGGCTATCGGTCCAGCCCGGCCTTGAACTCACAGAGATCCGCCTGCCTCTGCCTCCCGAGTTCTGGGATTAAAGGTGTGCGCCACCACCGCCCGGCCACATGTTTTGTTTCTTAACCTAAGTCCATTCATGCTCCTTTCCTGTCCGTCCGTCCATCTGTCTGTCTATCATGGTTTATGTGTTCTTTCATATTTCTGTAGAGTGCAAGGCAGATGAGAATGACAATGCACTGGATGGAGACTGTTGCGTGGGGAAGCTAGGAACTGGTACCCTGAAGGGAAAATTTGCTCTCAGGGCTGGGGACATCTTAGGGTTATATCTGCGGTATGAAAGACGAGAGATGGGGGCAAGATGACAGAGGGAAGGAGGGAGGCAGGAGGAATAGAAGAAGGCAGAGAGCAAGGAAGACATGGAGAAAGGGAAAGAGGGAGAGAGGGTGACTAATCTTTGAGATCTCGGAGGCAGGTGAGAACAGATACATGAAAAGGTACGGAAGAGAGATACTTCTTTTTCTAGGCCAAGGAGATGGCAGTAATAACAGGATGCTAGAGATCAATGGGTAAAATAGGGCAATTGAGGGCAGCCTTGGCTTTGAGTGTGTATCGATTGGACCAGAGGCTGTCCAATGCTGAGGGTGGTGCCCCACACTGACAGAAGAGGGATGCTTAGAGTATAAAGCATAGGAATAGCTGTTGAAAGGAGTGGACACAAGTGAGAGAAGAAAATAGCACTGAGATCTGGGCGTTGGTAGCACACGCCTTTAATCCCAGCACTCAGGAGGCAGAAGCAGGTGGATCTCTGTGAGTTCGAGACCAGCCTGGTCTACAGAGTGGGTTCCAGGACAGGCTCCAAAACAATACAGAGAAACCCTGTCTTGACCCCTGCAAAAAAGAAAAACAAACAAATAAACAAAAACGAAAAGAAAAATAGCACTGAGAATCCAGGTAAGGTACATTTTTTCTTCCCTTCTTATCTGATGATGCCTTCCTCCAGACTGCACACCCCATCCAGAACAGACAACCAAGTGAGTTACAGCAGGCCAGAAAGTACAATGTGCTCAAGGTCCACTAGAGGGCAGCCTTTGGTAAGGCCAAAAAGAGTTTCCTCCCCCCCCCCATGGAGAACATCTGAATCCCTCGGAGCTTTGGAAATATTCAGCAGGATCTTCTCTTGGAAAAGGTTTGGGATGCATCAGCCAGATAGGGCAGTGGAAAGACTTGGATAGGTGATATTGTGTCCCAACTGAGATTAAAACCCAGCATTTTTAATTTCAACTCCCCCTTTCCTTCTTCCACACGTGGCTGCCTCATCTTTCTTCTGGTTGTGAGAGAGCTGAGTGGAAGCTGTGGACTGTCTAGCAGCACAGACAATGCATCCTCTTGGCTTCAGTGCAACACAAGGGATGGAGCAATGGGGACCAGAATGCCAGGATCCTATCCTACTTTCCGTCTTCCTCCTGTGTCATACCCTGAATCCTCGGGCTGAGAAGCCCACCCACGTGTCTAGAGCCATGAATCTGAGGATGCGAGAACTCCAGTTCCATGTTGTAAGTCCAGCTGCCAGTGCCCTCTCTGCTACGTAGTTGTCGCAGCAATTTTCTTACTATGACACTGGGGCTGAAGGGGAGCAGCAGACACCCGGCATCATGTTCAGTAGTATGTAAGCGTCCGCTTAGTCCCTTTTGCCAATTGGCTCACAGCTCAGCCAGTTTGCTTAATAATTACTTGGCCAGCGTGGTGACTGCATGTGCTGGAATGGCATGGAGCCAGCCAACTCACCGAGTGACCATCCAATGACACCTAGGAGTAGCTGGCTGGCAGGCAGGCCCAGGGCTCTGTCACAGAAGATACCTGATTGCAGTTTGCTGACTAGTTAGCGATCAATCCTCCTGGACTCACAGGCTGGCTGGCTGTGTGTCTATGTCCCCCTGGTCGCCCATATTGGCTGGCTGTGTTTTATTCCCAGAGGCCATACCTGGTGGATGTCATCCATCCCGTTGCTTGCGAACTCAAACACTAAATCACTGGGCTGCAAGGCAATAGCCATACTGGCTTCTGCCAGAGCTGACAGTGACTACTCCCCCGGCTCCCTGGAGCTTCGGTGGCTTCTTGATGCAGAGATGTTATTCCGGAACCTCACGATCAATCCACTACCTTCCCTGAGCCCCCGTGGAGGATATCCAGAGCTGGAGTGGGTGTGGCCTACGTCGGGCTCAAGACTGCATGCTGGGCTGGGCTAAGCCAACAGCAAGGGCAACCTGAGGAGAAGAGAGACACGGAGACAGTGAGTAAGTCGACTTCCGTGAGCTCTGAGGCCAGGTCAGCTGGTGAAGTGACGAGGCTCTGCTGTGCCCAGACAGACTTCCAGCGGAGTGATGACAGAAATGGACCTGGCCTGCCACAAGGCAGTAGCAGGAGACATCTCCATAACTGTCCTGAGAGTCCTGTAGATGTGGGTGTGAGGGGCCCCACGGTGTTCAGTTTACCTCAGAAGTGAGGCCCAGCTGGCTCAGAGGAGCAGTCAGCAGAGGAAGAAATGTCTCACTTGGGTGGAGGGGACAGGCGTCATGGCCAGTAGGTCATGTGCCTTGCATACTCATGAGCAGCCCTACCCCCAATGCCCACGACAGGGTGGCCTCGGCGCTGTGCTTCATGTGGGTTTGTGCTCTTGGCTTAGCTTTGCTTTCAGTTTCAAGACTGAACTGTCACCCTGGGAACTTGTGGGGAGAGCCCTGGCTGGGGGAGGGGTCAGAAGAACCTTCCTCATCCTCTCTGGCTGGCCCAGCCCCCATATTCCAGGAAACGTGTCTGCTGAAGTCTCTCCCCAGTGCCTCTTCAGCTAGTAAGGCCCTGCAGCTGCCTGTTGCTTCCCCTGCCTCTACTCATCCACTGCCAGAGCCCCTGGGTGCTTCTAGCATGATCACACCATGGTCAAGTCCCAGAGACCTGATCTCCAGACTCCCCGACAGCCTGCTCTGCTCTCCCACCAGAACACAATGGCCTTTGCACTGGCCCAGGTACCAGGTCTTTTGCCCTTTGGGTTCCTTTCAGTGTGTGATGTGTTTGCAATGTGTGGGTAACTACAAGCAGGCTGACTCAACCATCGGAGCCAGGAGAACACAGACTACCCACAAGAGCACACACCCCGACTCCTTGCCACTCTGTTAGCAGTGCCAGGGTGGCGAAAACCTTTCCCCGGATGGGACATAAACCAACAGATGGGGGGATGAAGAGGGGTGCCACAAGTGACCTCTCTGATGACAGCTCTCCTCCACAGGAGACACCCAAGCCTCTCCCACTTCCTTTCCGTTAGCCCACAGGGCTAGCCCCGCCCAGACTCCGCCCCCACACCTTTCCACCTACTCCATCAAACATACTGGAGGAGTTGCTCAGCTCAGCTCTAGCCATGAGAGTTGAGTTTCCCTTCGGATGGAAGACAGAAGTCTGCTAGGTCCATCCCCAGTGGAACTGTGGGGGTGGTGGTTATACCTTTGTTCTGGTTTCATGGTTCCACCTTGCCCCACCCAAACGCGCATGTGACCCTGTCCCTCAGTGGCCTGCAAGACCTTACAGTACCATTTGTGTCTTGCTCCCCTAGCCTAAGAGCCCTCAAGGCCTGCATTCCAAAGCTCCTGCCCTCCCACAGGCCAGTCTGTCTGCCCTTAGGAGACATTCTCAGGGGAATCTAATGAAAGGTGATCACTTTCATCTAAACCCACTTCGGCCCAGCATGAAACTTCTGCTTCTGCTCCTGCCCCGGGTCGTTCACTGGGGCCCTTCCTTTCAGGTTTGTTTGCCTTCTAGTTATGTCTTCCTAAGCCTGCGTTTCCTTTTCAAAAGTTCTGCTGGTGCTATTTGCCTAAGGTCCCTCAATGCGGTTCCCTTACCTCCCCTGTCAGACACTGGCTTGTGCTGGGTTTATGGAATGAATGCAACAAAAAAAAGGAGCAGCACTGGGCATGGTGGTTCATCTTTGCAACCCCAGTACTTGTGAGGCTGGGGTGGATAGATCACTGTGGCTCGGAGGCTAGCCTGAGCTACAAAAACCAGGCCTTTAAAGTATACGCACCGGAGTTCAGTGAAAAAAGCCAGGCCCAGTGAAACTTGGGCAATGTGACAGGCAGATTTCTGGGACCTGTTGGCTAGCTAGCCTAATCCCTTCCTCTCAAACAAACACCAAGGAGGACAATTCCTGAGAGGCTGACTTCTGGGCCTCCACAGGCATGATATACACACCTGTGGGTAGTATCAGTACATATGTACACCCACATGAACACACTGCCCCATACACACACACACAAAACCAAACCAAGTAAAATAGATAGGTAAAAATAAAAAAAGAAGAAAGAACAAATGGGGGAATGACTGGTACTTGCCTAGAGCATCTATTGTATATTTTTGGAGCTGGACATATCTAGATGTACACTGACTGCAGTTGAGGAGAAATGTGCAAACTTGGACATTAGGTTGATACTTTTTTGCATTTCTAATTCCAGGGGTGCACTATCTATCTGCTGCGAGTGTACAAACAGACCACAGGTATATTTGCACATTCGGGGTGTGTGCATGTGTGCCAAGTGTGGGGACATATGTGTGAGAGCCTCTGTGTGTCAAAGGGCTGCTCTGGTCTGGCCAGCTGCAGAGCCACAAGCTCAATCATAGGTTCCCCCTCCTGCTCCCTCAGGGCAGGTAGCCTGGGGTGCCTGGCTGAGAATGGCAAGCCCAAGCAAATGCTGTGCAGAACACCGGGGTGGGGGGTGGGGTGGGGGTGGGGGTGCACAGACCAGGCTTCTGCTGGTCCACATGGATGTGGGACTGTGTGCTTCCCAGGGAAAAAAGCCAACCCAGCATAGGTCTGGGGTCTATGAGTCTTCAGATGAGTGGTCCCCAGCCCTAGGCTCACTCTGCTATGCTGTGCTGTGTTGGATTGTAAGGAATCTTTAACCGTCAGCGTCGAAACAAGTCTGAAATGCGAGTGGTAACACCAGTAGCAATTCTTCTACACACCCGCATGTTCAAGTATCTAAACTCCTATCTGCTGCTGCTGGAAGATCTCAGAAAACCATCTCCGGTGATCTGCTTCTGCCTGAAGCTAGGGGAGAGGGAGCAGAGAGAGACAGAGGCAGCCTGAAAGACGGGGGGGTGCTGGGGGAGCAAAGCTAAGAAACCTACCATGGAACTTTTCAGTCCAGAAATTCCCCCTCCCCCTTCAAAAGTTTGAGGATTTGAAAGTGAGAGGTGGAGAAAGGCTCATTTGCATGTTCACTCACTCTCCCCCGGTCCCTCAAAATAACCTCCCTCTCCCAGGAACTTGAAACCAAAGAAGCCACCACCACAGAAGGCACACCCTGTCGGAGGTAGGCGAGAAACACACTGTTCTCCTGTCTGGGGTCCTCCCAGAGCCGTTCGGCTAGGCCGCAGCTTCGACGGTCACCTATAATTCCCCTGGACACTGGCTTTACTAGTGAGTGGAGGTCAGAAGGCGCGAATGGCTGCAGACAAGGTCCGTTCCCAAGTCTGTCTTACTGGAGTGGGAAATGATGCCTGCTAGAGACTCTGAAAGCTGAGGGCATAGCAAGAGTGTGTACCACAGGAGGGGGAAAAGGTCAGGGCGCTTGTAAACGCACACCTCTGTGCTGACGTTCGCTCGACTGCACTTCCAAACCAAAGGAGCACAGACGTGGTCTGCGTTGACTCGGCATCACCACAACTCGGCCCCCTTCGGAGGTACAGGCCCTTCCTGTCTGGGACTGGGCACCCATCAAGCCGCATCCAGCGCCCACTCTTGTAAGCCTCCCCAACAGGGGGCAGCTCTGCTGTGAAAGCCGTTCACAGTCTCTACCAAGTGACTTGAAATCCAGGCTCGATCAGCTGAGTCAATGGCTCTCAGAATTGCTGGTAACACCCATGGCATTTTCACCCACGCCAAGAAACATGGAGGCCAGATGGTCAGCTGGGTCACACAGCACAATTCTCCCCCAGTTCCTCATCCTCTCTGAGCCAACTGTCCCTCCTGAAATACCTCGTTCTCCATGAAACCTTTCTGGAATTCTTTGGAAAGGAAATGACAGTTTCCTTCATGTCATTTCCCACTCCTTCACTGTCCCTCCCCCAACAGCCACAAACAAAATGGAAGCTGCCCCAGGAACAGAACAGCTGTCCCCTCTGTGTAGAAAAAACAACCTTTCCTCTGGTTAAGCACAGCGGAGAGTGCGCCTGCTGCACCATGTGACCAGTGGCCTGTATTTAAGAGCCAGAGGGCCAGAGTCAGGAATCGGGTCTGCAGTCCTGGACACAGCAGAACTAAGCCATCTGCAGAACTCAAACCCACAACCTCGTCCCAGTGAGGCCTGCACTCTCATCAGCCAACTGAATCCTCTTTCTCGAGCAAGTGCCCAGCAAAGTGGCTCCAGACATAGCTATGTTGTCAGCTCCTTCTCCTTTGTCCCTTTCTGTCTACTGCCCCCTCCACTGGAGATGAAATCAGGAAGGGGGAGGGGAAAAGAAAGGTTTTGCAAGGTTGGGGTTTCTCTACGCTTATTTGCAAAAAAACCAAAAAATCCAGGTTCATAACCTGGGTGTGGTGGGGGCATGCCTTTAGTCTCCGTACTTAAGAGGTTCAGATTTGAGGACAAAGCCAGCTTGGGCTACACAGCAAGATCTTTTGCCTTTAAAAAGCAGTCAAGGACTGGAGATGTAACTCAGTTGGGAGTGTTTGCCTAGCATGTAAGCTGGGTAAAACTAGGCACACTGAGACACACCTTTAATCCCAGCACTTGGGAGGCAGAGGGAGGTGGATCTCCAGAACAGCCAGGTCTACACAGTGATTTCCAGGCCAGGGCAAAAAAAAAAAAAGCTGGGGTTTTAACTCGCAGCACTGCATAGAAACAGGCTTGTTGACACTTGTTATCCCGGCACAGGGGGCGGTTGAGATAGGAAGATCAGAAGTTCAAGGCCTAGGTTACATAGCACATTGAGGCCACCCTGTGCTAGACCCTGTCTCGAACAAAACAAAACAAAACCCTTCCCCAAACAAAACAAGAAATCAATAAAAAAATAAAGCAGAGACGTATTAAAAACAAAACAAGAAAACCCACAGAGGAGATAAGTATGAAAACCGGAAAGCTGTCACACAGAGAGTAAGTTTCAGGTGATCTCCAGAGGGCAAGGGGGGCGTGCGGGCGGGCGGCGGGCCCACCGCTATCCTGTACCCTCCACCCCAGGATTGTAGGAGCTGGAGGGTCCCAGCTGTTGGCTG